CGAATAAAAATCAACGAGAAAGGCTTTAAATGGCCATAAGAACTGCGTTCACTTATCGCTGGATGAGATGGAGATGGGTTTATCTGTGGAGCAGGAGCTAATTACTCCCCGGTATTGGCCTTTCTCCGCCACCATTTCTCCGCATCTCTATCGGGGTTTTTTTTTTTTTTAATGCCCGCGTTAATTACCTGGCGCGGAGATTTTTCACTGCTTACATTTTATTTTTATGGTATTTCCCGGTAAGAACCGCGTGAAAAGTTCTCTGCACTTCGATCGAAATGACTGTGTAACCTTTGACCTTTTTTTAATGCTCTCCATTCTCACAGTTGGAGATTTCCACCGTGCTCATGTCCTTGCCAAAGGCTTGGGAAAACATCTGAGGATTAAGGGTGGGAATTATGAAAGTTTATCCGTCGAGGGGCGAAAATTATGATGCCAGTCGAAATCCGATTGAGATTTATGATTTTATAATGTTTGTGGTGAGGACTTTGGACAAATCCCTGAACTAGAATGTGGTTAGAAGTTAGTTTAAATGGTTGATGAGTTTGACTTACTTTTAAACACATTTTCCTATGAAGGTTTTATCATTTATTTTATATTATTTAGTGCTTAGCAACATAAAGTTTTCCTTTTACTTTTTTACACCTTTCCAGCTCTTTATACCCCGATTTCTCACACTGTCCCATCCATCCATCTATGAATTGATTGCTCATTTATAAGGAGTCTCCCCTTCGGGCGATGGCCTGTCAAGGGAAATTCAGGAAAACAGCTCGGATGGGCATATTGTGGCAGTCAGTTAGGCAATTTCCCATACGCACACGCCCGTCACAAAGGCCACACCCACCACCAGTGGACTGCAACTTTCCACCACCCAAAATCCAGTTACAATTGCAGGATCCAAGGAGCTGCGGCCAAGGCTAACCGAGGGCTAAGCGGATATTCATTACACGAACCGCACGCCGGCACGCGTTACCGCTTTGGACGCTTTAGCACCCTCTCGTCCTTCGTCCGGATGTCGTTGGTACTTGGTGCTTGGTCCTTGGACGAGCTTACACTTTACATATGTCACGGATATCCCCGTGGGAGGGTTTTGCGCCGTTTGACTTTTGAGCGGAGTCAGTCCGTTGATCCTGTTTGCTGTAAATAATGCGATTAACGGCATCACGCAGCCAGCTTCTGATCCTGATTTTGTTGGGGGGATGGGGGTGGCGTAGAACGGGCAGAGTCCTTGTTAATGAGCCACCGAAGGAACTGCGCTTCAGCGAGAGTTGCCCAGATTAGTGCTACAAATTCGCGCCTAAGCATGGTGTGAAATATGAAAGCGTACACCGCGGGAAAATGTTTTTTGGAGGATTGATAAAACGATTGATTTATGATGGGCTTGTGTTTTTGGAAAGAAAAATGAAATTGGGATATTCGATGATTGATCTTCTGCATTTAATACAAAAATTATATGAAGATACGAGGTGTGTTCAAAAAGTAAGGTGACTCTTCAAATTTCGCGAATTTCAAATTTTTCGATTATCGATTTTTTTGTTTTGTTATATTGGTACACTCTTCCCTAACATCTGTACCAAGTTTCAATGGAACATCCTCTTTTGTTTGGTTGTGAGAGGCGTAAAGTTACAAGTTATTTTGCGAGCTCGGCGATTTTTTGCTATCGAAAAATATGGATCAAAGGATTTGGATTTTTTGGCCAAAAACAACACCACAATAATGCCTCAGCCACCATATTCACCGGATTTGGCCCCATGTGACTTTTTCTTGTTCCCAAAACTGAAGATAATCGAAAAATTTGAAAAATTTGAAATTTGAAAAGTCACCTTACTTTTTGAACACACCTCGTATAACTTCTAAAAGGTTTCGATAATCGAAAAATTTGAAATTCGCGAAATTTGAAGAGTCACCTTACTTTTTGAACACACCTCGTATATCACCCAATCTATATTGATATATAGAGCTATCCATGGATATGGAATATTCAAGGAATTTAAGGCAGATATTTAAATAAATACTATCTAGGATTCCCTCTTTTAAGGTAAGGTATAGGATAATGAGAATAGTATAGGACATAATATAACTCTCTCTCAGTGCATCTTTCCACCGCTGATGGCGGAAAAATGAAAAATTATTGCATTGGTTTCATTTTCAACTGGGTCTGGGCTTGGATTTTGTCATTGTCTATCGCCATTAAAGTGTCTTTAGTGCTCCACGACGTATGCCATTCACTGGCTTGGAAGTAATTTTTATTAACTCTGCCAAAAGTGCACAAAATAATCGCATTAACGCCGAACCAGACCCACACCCCCTAGGTTTTGGCCACGTGTGAGTTGGCTAACCCAGCTGAATGACTAACTGAGTGACTGACTAGATGGCTGAATGACTGGTTGGCTGGATGACAGACTGACTGCCAGGTCGTGGTGTCATTGTCGTGCTGTCGGTCTGAAAAGGTTGAGAAACGCCGGCGGGTAGCATCTGGAGATTTTCCTTGCACTTTTGTCTTTGGGCGTGTCTGTTTCTGTGTTTTAGCCTTTTTGGAAAATCACATTTTCCAGCCGAGCCGAGCAGTCGAGAGCCAAGTGTGCGAAAATTTGATAAACGCCGACCCCCAAAAGGCGCATGATTTGGATCGGCATCGGCATCGGCATCGGCATAGAGGAAGAACCAACCCAATCCAATCCAATCCAATTCGCAGCCGCATAACCCGTAAACTGTAACCCATAACCTGGCTCTAAGCTGAAATCAGAACGGGGCGTTGGTGGCGGTATGGGAGGGGGTGTGGCTACGGTTTGGCAGCATAAAGTGCTAAAAAACGCTCAATAAAACCACACATAAAAATTGACTAAATACAAAACATGACAGACGGCGTGCGAGTATTAATAATAATGCGTTCGCAGTCCGCATTTTGGCCTTCTCTTTTTTTCTTTCTTTTGCCCTTTTAGCTGCTGCCGTTGTTTATAAAGTGCAAAAAACGTTGTACTCTTTTTCACATTCACATTCGATAAAAATCGCATGATCATAAATTTACACTTTGCACAGCCTCCGCGGCAACGCCCACCCCCAAAAAAAAAAAACGAAAAAATCACAAATAAAAAAGTAAAGAAAAAGGGGGAGAAAACCGAATGCATATCGATAGGGGGTGGTGGCGGGGCGTTTTGGTCGGTGGAGGGGCGAAGATATACACGCAATGGCAGTGAGAATCTGGCGGCCCCTGGGACGCATGAACGATTGGTAAATTGTTGTGGTCAGGATTGGTTTGCCTCGATTCGGAATCGGCTCGCATTGCCTTTTCAGGGGTCCCTTGCGTTATGTTCTGTGGCAATTGCAATCAGTAGGTTCCTGCATTGGGAAGGCAAACGAATAGTTGGTACCCTTGAGAGAGCTGAAACTAGGAAGGGGCTCGTTAGAAGAGGTTTCATATCTGTTTTTAGTTGGAAAAACCATGCAGATTAGGCAAAAGGTGTTTTACATAGTAATTATGCCAGAAAATATGAATTTTAGAAATCTTTTTTAGATATGAATGTGGGGGGATATTTACATACTATAAGCCTCTTTGAAATCGGGTTCCAATAGGTTTAGTTTATGAAGTCTGGGTCTCCTTATAGCAAACCCATTTCTAGTATACATTTTACGGGGTAAAAATAATAAAAAGGGTTCAATAAATGTCTTTTATTAATAAAAATCAATTGACTGAAAAGTCATTATCACCAAGTTTCACCACGATTTTTAACAATATGATTAATTTCCACAGATGTGTATATTTATTAATAATACATTAACACCATTAGGCTGATACATTTTTATCTCGGTTAAACCAGAATCCCAATATACCCTTTTTCACAGACCTTTGAAGACCACAGAATTGAGGGATAAAAATGCATTTATTGCCTTTCGATATTTTTACAAATCGTTGAAATATTTTTCACAGAAAAGCCGCGTGCGCTTTACATTTCAAATGCGAAATTTTCGGGCGTGTGTGGGCGTCCCCGGCCACGCCCACTTAGCGCGCGGTGTGAAGTTATTTAATTGCCAAGCGATTTGCGCGCGTTTTGCGGGCGATTTGTGACGCGTTTTTTTCTTGTGCTTGCATCCCCATCTCTCTCTCTCTCTCGCTGTCTCTTTCATTCACCATCTATCTGTCTCTTTCTCTTGGCCCTGTCTTATCGCCTTGACCAAATCATCTGCTGGCGCATAATTAATGAGCTCTACATAATTTGCATATTTCTAATTTAATCAAAATGATTTGATTCGCCTGCCCAGCAAATAACAACAACAACAACAGTCAGCTATATTGTAACAACAATCGAAAATGCAACAATAACAATAGCAAGAACAACAACAACGAGGTGGCTTTGTGTGATGCATGTGCATGTCGCTGCAACATTATAAATAAATCAAAATACAATTTCTCAGAAATTGCGATGCCCTATCAAAATCCAGCGAGGAGAGTGCCCCCAAACATAAACACGGGCAAAATTTCCACCCAAAACATGTTGATATGTAGAGGTACCCTCGTGTTCCGAGGAGGCGGGGCAAGACGGGCCTATAATGTCGATGAATGCATATATATACGGTTGTAGGCTTGTGGCAAGGTCTACGCAAATGCAAACGCCACAAATCGACGGCCTCGAAGGAAACAACATGCAAGAAGTGCCAGCTACGAAGGCGGAAAAGTCGATGTTCAAGCAAGGCCTAACCAGTCACCCTTCCTCCACCCTTCTTGGCCAACTTACAGGCAAAGTCCTAACTAGTCTTAGTCCAACAGCAGTCCCCGAGAGAGCAGTCCACATGTCCTCCTGTGCATGCCGTGCAATTATTTTGAATTAAATTCGTATTTTGTTCGAATCTTGTAAGTGCATCTTGTTCGGCTGGTCCGGAGTACGCTCTCCTCCACACTGAGAGAAATGGTAGTTGGGGACCAAAATATGTAAGAACATTAAGGGTTTTACATTTTAAGGTTATTTATTTTAAAAATATTTTTAATAATAAGTCAAAGTATATTACAAAATATTTTTTCAGTGTTTTATTTTTCTTCTCCACTGCCTTTCCTTTACTTTGGACATTGTTTCTCTCCTCTCGTTGCTAAGATTTCATATGCAAAATATGCAGCTCTTGTAAAGTGGGTGATGAGACATGTGCTATACCCTATAAAAATATTTCTGTATGAAAAATATACCTTAAAATATAATGCAAATAAGGAATATTTAATCTTAATAGATCATACATAGACCCTTGAACTTAATTAGCTAATCTAACATGTTCGCGTAAGCCTTAATATTGATAAGACTATAGTACTTAAAGACTTTTTCATAATATTTAATATTAATAAACAAACAATTAAATGTGTTTCAAAGGATTAAGTTTAGTATTAATGTTTTTTTTCATAATATATATTTTCATAATTGTCTAAATTCTTTATATTCGATCATATCTAACTGAAAATGACAGGGTATCATGTGATACCCACAAACAACTAAGTAAGCAACAGATATAGCAACAACACGCTAGGAAAAGAGGAGAGACTAGCGCTAAATTGACATCAAATTGGCGTTTATTTGGCTTGCGGAGCAGCTTGGCTACATGTCCCCGTCTATTCACTGGAGCTGAGCTGTGTTGGGAAACGGAGAAAGGATAAGGGAATAAGCCAAAATTTTGACCAGGCTCATACTTGGGAGTCCTGCTCATTAAGTCGTCGTCTGATGGTGTTAGAATTACCTCCTCCCAGGATGGTAGACCTCCTCCAGTGACGAAACCTTCGCAGACAGCCCTCTTCCTCCAGGATGTGATAGAGATTCATCAGCAGAATAATCAACACCACTAGTAGGGTCACAAAAGCCAGGATATCTCTTAGGGTCCAGTATGGATGTATGCCAGACACTCCTGGTGGATCCAATTTCTGGGCCTCCGAAGTCGGTGGCCAATCAATATCCACTAGACTACGATTTATCGGGGCATGGGTTTGGGGTCCTGCCTGCAGGTGAACTCCTCGATCGGTGAGATAGACAAACATCTTGCGATATAAACCAAGTGCCCAGGCATTATCATGTAGTCCCAGCTCCTTGAGATCTTCGTGCTGCTGATGGAAAAGCTGGTAGTCGAAGGTATTCAGCCGATTTCCCTCGACAAACAGACCCTGAAGAACCGGCAAGCCCCTCAATATCTCGACATCCAGGGTTAGTATTAGGTTATGGGACAAGTCCAAGAAGTTGAGACGGGAGGAGAAGATTGGCGAGTCCGAAGGCAAACTTACTAAACGATTGTTGGCCAAATTCAAGTACTTTAAACTGGGCAAAAGGAATAGTTCTTGAGAGTCAGGATCCTCCGATCCACTTCCATGCAATGGCAGTGTTTCGATGATATTCTTTGAGAGATCGAGTCTTTGTAGATTCCACATTCCTCTGAGGAAGCTGGCAATATCATTTCCATTCAGCAAGTTACCATGGAGATCCATTTCGATGACAGCGCTCTTGTTTCCCACATGCAGATTATTCAGCTCGTTGTTGCCGGCCTGCAGTGAGATAAAGCCTCCATTGATGACTAAGCTGCTAAGACGACTGCCCTCCAAGATTAAGTTCTGGACATTGCGAAGGTCCAGCATTAGAGTGTCCAAGTCACCTGCATGTCCCAAATCAAGCAGTCGAAGATTGGGTAAGGAAGTAAGGACTTCTGGCAGTAAAGTCTTCATTTGGTTTCCATTAAGCAGTAAAGTTTGCATCTTGTTATTTTTGGCAAAAATATTTTGTGGCAAAATGGTAAGTTGATTGCTGCTTAAATCCAGATGCACTAGCTCTACTAGAGGATCTAAAGTTCTGGTTTGGATCTCTTGAATCCCATTGCCTTGCAGACCCAGTAACCTTAGTTTTGCTAAACCCTTGAAGGCATCCACGTGCACCGTGTGGATGATGTTTTGTCCTAATTCTAGGATCTCCAAACGGGGAACAGTGGTAAAGATTTCGTCCCGGAGGACGCCAAGTCTCGTGCTCTGCATCTGCAGGGACGTGAGATTCCCCACTACCTTTAGAACCTCCTTGTTGATGTGATAGGTGGCACAATTCCTGATGATCAATGTCCTTAAACCTGGCGTGAGATTTAGAACAAGCCATGGGATCGATTGGCGACTGCAGTTCGTCAAGAGCAGTTCCCGGAGTTCAAGGGCCGGACTTGCGGAGTAGGCGACTGGTTGATCATTCAGTTGGCAGAAAGACTCCGGGCAACTGGCACTGAGATTGAACCGCCCGGTGGCATCGTAAACGGGAAGAGCCTCACCCACCTTCAAACCGAAAACTCCGATCAGGAGATATATGTAATAATGCATTATACTTTTTATATTAATTTAAAAGCGCTTTCCACTGCTCGCGCTTTGTTAGACCGCAAATAATGCACTGGCGATGAGTTGAGCGGAGAACAGCATTATTTCCTTATCATCTGGTTTTGTGGATCAGCGGGTAAAGCTGATAATGGGTGATGTAAAGCCCCTGGGAAGCTTTGCTGATGACAACAAAGTAAAGCTTTCTCCTCATGTTGCTAACGATATAACAAATTCGGACTCAACATTTGGGTGGACCATGTTCATATTTATTTGTAATTTTTTAAATTTAGACCTAAAAATACGATTTATAAAACACTAATCCTAAAATATATTACTTCTTAGATTAATTAACTAACTTAGATATGTACCTTTAAGTTTCCGTTTCTTGGTGGTTGACGATCTCAACCCTCCCCTCGGGTCTTTCGTCTCTTACCCGCCCCCACTTGCACCCGTAGCAGCAGTTGTCCCCTTCTCTTTTGTATAAATGCATTCTTACATAGAGTATCACTAATAGAAGGAAGATTACTATTAGAATATCATACACCGACCACTTGTGCAGTTTGGACTTGGTCTTGGATTCCGATAGAGAAGTGTCATCTGTATCTTCTGGAGGATCAGTAGTAAGTTTTGGGATGAGTTCGGTTTTGATTTCGGGCTCCGGAAGTTCGCGTTTTCTTACGAATTTGGTTTTAGTTTCGGGCATATGTATATCTTGGTAGCTTTTTTCTGTAGAGTTTTGAATATTTTTCATTAAAAAATTCTGTTTAAATTCCAATTTGAGTAACTGAGAGTCCGAAGCCGAAATCTTAAATTCCCTGGAGAACACATTTTTGTTTCCCAAAACAACAATAGCCGACACGAGCACGAGATAATGAATAAACATATTCTATTTTTAAAATATTACGATTTTTTGAAGGGCAGCAGTGAGCTATAATTTAAAGATAATTGTATGAAATTAGTAAGGAACGATTTTGCTAATATATACCTTATTTTAAGAATGTTTTTATATATTTTTCGAGAAAGGCTTTAGCTGACATCCGATCATGCCTATAATCCGGTTGAAATTTGCACGGGAAAAGGTAGCCAAATAAATACAGCTAAGACTAATCAGCTGTATAAATCAGTTCTGAATCATTCACCTTTTGTTCGGACTGAAGTATATTGGCGCGCAAAACTAATTAGAATTCCCAATTCGAAAAATCTGAAAAGAGAGAAAAGGTGGAAGAAAACTTTCTAAAGAAGGTTTAAAAAAATAATATTTATTCATAACTTATTATATATATATCATTATATGTAAGACCTGATGAATTTAAGGAACACTTTGTTTGAGCATATAAAATTGTAACCTAATTATTAAGTACACAATCGATCTTGTCTTTTTGAGTAAAAATTAATCTCTGATATCTTCTGCAGGTATTAAATTGTGGATAAATATCGTTTCCAAGGAAGATTGTGGTGTTGCCTGCGGAACAATGTGTCTTCCACTATAACGGCAGAGAATCTTAATCAGGATCACATTAATGCCAAGAGATAAAGAAAGGGCGACAATCAAGACTAGAGTCCATACGCTGATAGGTTCACCATTAACTTCTGGCCATGCGAGCCTGGTCATGTCATTGCGAAATGCGACTTGTTTATTAAATATTTGAGATTTATTTGCGAAGTCAGGCAGAGCTTCAGTTGAGTTTTCATTGCTTCGAGGATCATTAAGGGGTTTTTCTTTAGAGTTATCAACCTTTTCATTCAGAGAGGTTTTGTTTGAAGGATCTTTTGGGCTTTTGTTTATAAAGTGCAAAGAAGTTTCATTATCGCTGTTATTGCTTGGAGAATCATTTTGATGTTCCTCATTAAAGTCATCACTTTTTTCCTTTAAACTGTTTCTATTGGTAGGACCTACTTGAGCTTTGTTTATAAAATTTGCACAAACGTCCTTCAAGCTGTCATTGCTTTGAGCTTCACACTGACTTTTTTCAATTACGTTTACTTTAATATCTCTGAAGAACATGGTAGCTTTTTTGTAAGCCTCTGGAGTGTAAATGTTGTCATATAAAGCCACCTCTTTAAAGCCTGGATGGGATTGCTGAAACGTAGTGGGTGGAACATATCTAAGTCTATTTCCCTGTATATACAAGGCCTCAAGATTAAAAGCACTTTCAATGGTGGATGATTGTAGAAAAAATAGTCCACTGAACGACAAGTCCAAATGGGTAAGCCTTGCCCATGGTATCGGAGAATCGTAGTGGAGGCGCTTGAGAAAATTCCCTGACAGGTTTAGGAACTTGAGATTGGGTAGCAGAAAGAGTTCACTTGTGTTGTCGCTTCCTGCCGCTGGAAAATCATGGATGAGGTTATTGGAAAGATCCAGGTGCTGAAGTCTCCACATTCCCATTAGAAGCCGGGGAATATCATAAGTAGACAGTGAATTATTTTGCAGATCTAACTCCGTGAGAGAGCTTTTGTAGTGCAATCGGATATTGGTAATCTGGTTTTTTTTCGCACTCAGTTTGAAAACACTGCCTTCGATTTCTAAAGACTTCAGTCCGCTATTGTCCAGGATTATGGAATGAGCACCGGGCAGTGTAAGGGCAGACAGAGGGCCACAATTGCTCAGATCCAAAAGGCGAAGATTTGCAAGGGATATTAGCGCCGAGGGCGATATCGAAGTCAAGGGATTCCTATTGAGTAGCAGCATCTCCAGCTTCGGATTTCCAGAAAAGATGCTTCCTTCAAGATTACTGATCCTATTGCCACTTAGATCAAGATGCAGAAGTTCCGGTAGGGTTTCAAATATACCCTGGGGTAAAATCTGAATATCGTTGCCCGGCAATGCCAGCAACGAAAGATGAGGTACTCCATAGAAGGTTTCATTGGTTACTGTAGCAATGGAGTTTCCTCCTAGATCAAGGACCTTAATGTCGGGCCACTTGGCAAAGTGTTCATCGTTAAGACCAGAGAGATTTCCGCGACGCAACTGAAGGGTACTTAGATTCGGAATTGATCTTGGATTTATCTTGTTGATGTGCTCGTTCGTGCAGAATTCCAATTCCAGGGTACGCAGATTGGGCATGAGTTGTAATACTTTCAGGTCATCGCAGGAGGTGAAGTGGAATTCCAAAAGTTTTGGAGCCTTCTTTTCGGAAAAACCGTAATTTCTATACATTATATGGCAATAGGATCCACTGCATGTGTTCTCAAGAGGGGGAAACATAGAACCGGAGACACTTGATAGAAACACCAGGTATACAAAAAACATCATACTTTCTAAATTTAGGATTTTCTTAGTAATCAGCTTCATTCAATTAGATTAACTTCTTAGTCACGCCTAAAAACTCTTAAAATAAAAGCCGCCATCCAAAATAGGGGTGGGAGAAATCAGCTGTTCAGCTAGATCTTAAAAATATCGATCGGCTAGAAATTTATTTAGAACTATCGATAGATAATGGCGCACATTTAAAATCCTCTGGAAAGCTTTGCTGATAGAACATCATGTTGCCAACAAAATAACAAATCCGAACTTATAGAGATTACTGGTGGTTGACGATCTCAACCCTGCCCTCGGGTCTTTCATTCCGTATAGCCCCAAATTTTTTTCTAAATTTCGATGCGTCCGAAGACGTAATCTTAAATTCGTTGGGAACACATTTTTGTTTCCCACAACAATATAGCAGACACGAGCATGTTTAATAGATAACGATCTGTACGGTCTCTAGTGATCTAAAACTTAAAGGCAATTGTATTTACCAGCCTTAAAAATTATAAAGGTCACATTCATTTTAAAAGTTGTGTGGTTGTTTGTTTTTTTTTCTTGAAGATAGGCATATGCCGCTATCCGGAAAATATGAGTACGGATGAATCTATTAAAATATCAAAACTAATTAACGATTTTATATGAAATAATGCATTTTTAATTTCTGGATATCAGTTCTGAATCATTGAGTTGGGAGTAGAAGTCCCTTTTAAAAAATCTAAAAAGAGAGAAAATGTAAAAATTTGCTAGCGAGAGCTTACTTTAAAAAATAATGTTTATTCAATAACTTTTTATGACCTGGTGTATAAAAAGGAAGTAGGAGGATAATAAAGTTGTTTTCTGTTAAGGTCATAATTTTTTTCCGTTAAAGGGTTTTTATAAGCTGTTATTGTTTGGAGATTAACCCTGGATTTTCTCAATTACTTTTACATTATTATCTCTAAAGACCTTGGTAACTTTTTCATAGACTTCTGGGGTGTAAACGTTGTCATACAATGCCACCTCTCTAAAACCTGGATGTGATTGCCGAAAAGTTGTCGGTGGAACATACCTAAGTTTATTTCCCTGTATATACAAGGCCTCAAGATTAAAAGCACTTTCAATGGCTGCTTGCGGTAGTAAAAATAGTTCACTGAACGACAAGTCCAAATGGGTAAGCCTTGCCCATGGTATCGGAGAATCGTAGTGCAGGCGCTTGAGAAGATTCCCTGACAGGTTTAGGAACTTGAGATTGGGTAGCAGAAAGAGTTCGCTTATGTTGTCGCTTCCTGCCGCTGGAAAATCATGGATGAGGTTATTGGAAAGATCCAGGTGCTGAAGTCTCCACATTCCCATTAGAAGTTGGGGGATATCGTCAGTAGACAGTGAATTGTTTTGTAGATCTAACTCCGTGAGAGAGCTTTTGTAGTGCAGTCGGATGTTGGTAATCTGGTTTTTCTTCGCACTCAGCTTAAAAACACTGCCATTGATTTCTAAAGACTTGAGTCCGCTGTTGTCCAGGATTATGGAATGAGCACCGGGCAGTGTAAGGGCAGGCAGAGGGCCACAATTGCTCAGATCTAAAAGGCGTAGATTTGTAAGGGATATTAGCGCCGTGGGCGATATCGAGATCAAGGGATTCCTATTGAGTAGCAGCATCTCCAGCTTCGGATTTCCAGCGAAGATGCTTCCTTCAAGATTACTGATCCTATTCCCACTTAGGTCAAGATGCATAAGTTCCGGTAGGGTTTCGAATATACCCTGGGGTAAAATTTGAATATCATTGCCCGGCAATGCCAGCAACCAGAGATGAGGTACACCGTTGAAGGTTCCATTGGATACTGTAGCAATGGAGTTCCCTCCTAGATCAAGAACCTTAATTCTGGGCCACTTGGCAAAGTGTTCATCGTTAAGCTCCCACAGATTTCCGCGACGCAACTGAAGGGTACTTAGATTCGGAATTGACCTTGGATTAATACTCCTGATAAGCTCGTTCGTGCAGAATTCCAATTCCAGGGTGTGAAGATTGGGCATGAGTTCTAATACTTCCAGGTCAAAGCAAGTATCAATATGGAATTCCAAAAGCTTTGGAGCTTTCCTATCGGAAAATGTATACTTCCTTCCAAAGATACGGCAATACGATCCTTCACATTTATCCTCCAGATGAGGAAGCATAGAACCGGAGACACTCGACAGAAGCACAAAGTATAAAAAAAGCATCATGATTTTTTTAATTAAGTTTTTATATTCCTGTTACTAAGCTCGGTTCCATTAGACTGTTTCTCTTCTATGGCACGTTAATCATTTAAATATTCTCAAAAATAGGGATGGAAGAAATCAGCTGTATAGCTAGTTCATGCAAATATCGATCGCATAAAAAATGATTTAGTTCTATCGATAGATATTGGCGCTTATTTCAAATGCGAAAAAAACTAAAAAGGACCCTATGCGCTTTTTTAATGTTTTAATAATATTTAATTTAACTTCCACTCAATTTACAGTTAGCAGTTAATTCTAAATTAATTAAAGTGCGTCTAAGATTAATGAGCTTTCTAGTGATCAGCTTTTTTAAATTAAAACACCTTACTTTCCGAAATGATAGTAGATAGAGAGATTAAATACGACTTTTTAATTGAGCTAACAAAACAATATTTTATGATAGCCACCTGAAAATCTTGGCTTTCATCTTTCAATACCCAGTAAATACATGAAATGCCTGGAACATCTTTGCTTATCGGAAACAACCGTCCAACATGTTCCACATAAAAAGCAGTTTCTTCACTCAGCAAATAAAAGGCAGCGAGAGGCAGAGATCCTTTAATTCCCTGCATAATTCCAAATCAGACAAGCGTTAAAAACATTTCATTATAACGCTACACAATCGGAATATTTAATGATTTAATCGGCCGGCCGAATCGAGCACAACACCTAAGCACCAAAGGACGTGGTGGAGGCTGCAGCCAAGTCGAATGAAGTCTCGATAAACTGCTTCAAATTCACAGATTTTAAATTTAAAATCGTTGCCACACGGCACAGGGCAGGCGGACATGTAAAATGCAGCCAGGTTCTTAGCCAAGATCTGAGTCCCTATACCCATACCTTAGCCCATACCGTACCATTCCATTCTCAAGTTGGCTGGCAAATGCTGGCTCGATATAATGGCGCGAGTTTCATGTTTACAAAAAAGATTATGCAGCCCGAAAACAACCGAGGGAACAACACAGCAATACAGCAACAAGAACCACGAGATACAAACGTGCAACGCGGTTGCAGAGAACTCGCAGACCAAAGACCTGAAGATGGAACCTGAAAAGCTGAGAACTGAGAACTGGAGTTCTAATTAAACAATTCGTAGAATTTCGCGTTAATTGCGAGAAAACGACTTGAACGTGCTTGGCGGATTGGCTGAGGCTGTGGGACACCAGTTCCTCCCCCATCCCCATTCTGGTTTGTCCCACCACTCCTCTTTTCCCAGCCCATTCCCCATTTCAGGTGACACGTTCTGGGGAAGTAATGGAGGTAAAGGTACACCCAGAAAAGAGTTTCCTACCCAAAAGGATTTCATTTGTGCTGCTTGAAATATTTATTTTCCTCTTTATCATTAACCCATTAGTTACTTAAATTATTTAAAATACTTAAGACTTTAAGTACGTCATTTTTTGAACTTTTTTTTGCGAAAGAAAAGACAAAAACTAAGATACACAAATTATGTGAAAATTGTTCTAATTTTGTCTTAGTGCAATGGAAAAACTGTGCTCTTTGCCTAGATCCAGTGTCATTTCTTATGCGTGCCGTCATTTGACGAGGATGAGCTCTGTTATTAACACGCCTCCCGGCCTTACCCCTTAACTCCGCCTCGACAAGCTTGGACAATGCTCTGGACTTTTTACACATGTGAAGGCTGGCCAACTTGGAGAGAAAACTCAATTCAAATTATCGCCAAACAAGATCGACAGATGTTCAGCGGGCACAAAAACAACAACAGCAACAACAGCAACAACAGAAATGCCACAGATGAGATGATGGGAGAAGGGAAAGGGTTTAGGGCAAGGGGACTGAAACTGGTAGAGAGGTCAATGAGGTGCACCGACCGATCGGCCAGATCGATCTTCCTGCAGTCGAAAAACGCAGAGAATAAAGCCCGAAGCAGCAGAGTCAAAAGCAGTCGCACGTCTCGCTGAGCAAATAACGCCCCAAAATAAAATAACACAAGACAGCGAACTAAACCCTTTAATCTAAACCACTTTGGGCCACGGCAGTGCAGATCCCTTGGACCGATCCCGATCCCGATCCGATCGACAACGCCACGCATATTTCGCATAACCCAGGCACACCTTTTCACCAAACTCCAAACAGAAAATGCCAAGGAGTAGGGGATAGCCCCGAAAAATGAGAATATAAAACAAAAATCGTACAACAAAGAACATACGAGTATATATATATATATAGGGACAGGCACTTCGATCTGAAAGGGCAGAGTGGCGAGGAGCTACGCTACCGTCATCATCATCATCGCCAGCACTCCATTCTTCTGGTCGATCATCCGCACTCGTCATCGTGCCCGTCATCGTGTCCACATCCCTGGGTTCGCGTTCTTATCGCTGCCGATTAATCTGCCATCGCTGTCGCTGATAAGGCAGCCAAATGGACGACCCTCCAGACCAGAGCTCCTCGCCCTGAATCCTCTTCAGACCGGCTGAACCCTGGCCACGAAACCCACCATAAAACCCAACCACAACCGCATCATTGTTAGCCCAGTGCGCAGTGGCAGCCAACACTCATGTTTAAATTATGATGGCTTCTAACTTGCGCCCCAACCCCTGAGCATCCGTCAAATCGAATGTGGGCATATGGGTTACCCTCCTCACCTTCCTTCCCTCTGATCGTGTCAGAAGTCATGCTGCTGACATGGCTGACGACCCATTGACAAATGCTCAGATTGAAGACTCCTTCTTTCTCTCACTGAACAAAGCCGAAGGCTCGACAAGAAGTTCAGCAAATATTAAAGGGTAAACTCGAAGAAATGCTAAAGATTTTCCGGGGAGATTGTAGATTACCTCTTTTTCGAAACAATCGTAGTTTGCAACCAAAATGTAAAACGCATTTATTTCATAAAACGAATGTAGCAATGAACTCTTTCACTTTCGGGCTGTTTTGAAAACTTCCTTTCTTTTGTACATTTTCGCATTTTTGGTAAGGGCTACCATCATCATATTTTTGCGAAAAATGGCCAAGCTTTGACGTTTTATACTGTAAATACAGTTCGACTAGGCATTTAATTTCGAGTTTAACGAGGTATAACATTCCATATTCAGACCATTATTGGTTTAGTTATGAGCATAGTTCTGAGACCATGGGGAGAAAATCTGAGGTAACCAATTTTCGCATTCTCAATAACGGGAAAAACGTCATTTTTTGCGAAAAGCCCAAAAATTTCACATTTTAAACTGTTAATACAGTTCGACTAGGAATATAATTTAAAGTTTAACGAGGTATAACATTCAATATTCGGAACATTATTGGCTTAGTAATCGGCAAAGAGAGACCTTGTGGAGAAAATCTGAGGTAAACAATTTTCGCATTTTCGATAACGAAAAAAAAGCCTTTTTTCGCGAAAAATATCCAACATTTTTTCATTTCAAACTGTGAATGCAATTCAACTAGGAATTAGAAAACAAGCTCAACAAGGTATGGCATTCCATCATCGGACCACTTTTATCCTAGTTATGGTCAAGAACCTAACACTTTAAGGAGAAAATCGGGAACACGAATCCAACAAGATGGCATAATACCATCTTTAAGTTATAAATTAGTCAAACAAGGATCAGGACTCTTAACTTTGATTTTAACGTATTTGTAGGGAATTATTTGTCTAAAGGATGGATAATTCTATCATTATTTATGTCGGTCTTATGACCGCTGTACAATTAAGATAATAAATCGAACGATAATCCCAAGTGAAGAAGACAATAGTTGGGTTAATACATGAGAGAGCGATAGGGGATAGTTATCCGAGTTATCTAATCGGTCTCATCTACATGGGTTCATCCTGGCGTATGCGTAATGCGCGCTTGTCACTGGCAGCTGATGATCTGCCCAGCGGCTTTGTGCCTTCCAACCAACAGACCAACCGAACAAACAAAAACCTCTGAATCCGATTTGACTGAGCTTCGCTTTATTTAAACACAATCGCTGATGCATAATTAATTAAAAGGTTTTTCAATGTGATTTTTTAACCCTCCGCCCAAATGTTTTGTTTACTTTTTTGCTTGCTGTCTTCTTTTGACAACACGCCCCAAAAACATAATACATAAAAAAAACGAAAACGGTGGCCGCTTGTTGGTTGGCTGATTCCGATTCCGACTCCGATTCGGAATCTGAATCTGGTTCTGGTTATTCAGTTGCTGTCGCTGTCGCTGGGCTGTTGTGGGCTCTTATCTTGTAAATTGAATTATGAAATCGTCAACTTGAAACCAAAACTGAATGCAGCCCAAAGCCAAAACGGAGGCTGCTGCTCCTTTTTGTCCATGGTTGCCGGGGGAATCAGTTAAGGGAGCATGACGACGACGACAACTACAACTACGATGGGTAGCAGCTGCCCAATGACCAACGAACCAATCTTCCATCCAAGCAACCTTCCTCCAACCAGTCTCCCTGCCCTTCGTCCTGTCTGCGAGTGAGTGAGCAAACAAAACGGGCATTTAACATAATCATATCATATCGTCGTAGGCATCACATCGCTGCTGAGCTGCAAACCACTTAAGTTGGCCCAGGACGTGGATGAGGATGAGGATGAGCATGATTCTGGCCATTTGCATATGTCTTTTGTGCCCCCTTGCCACGCCCCCTGTGGCTTGTTTGTTCGGCAGCACGAATGAGCAGCATTTAGGAGCTATCTGCCTTTCATTGCTTTATTTACTTGGCTTTCTGGCCTGCTTTTGACTTCTCCACTGGATGGAGGAAAGTCTGACCATTATGGGATCCTTTCTCGTTCCGAAATTCAAAGCAAAACCCTGTCAAAACATCAACAAGCTATGAAGTAACCCTGAAAAACTTAATAAAAGTCAAACCTAACTTTCTTTATCAAGATAATTTCCAATTTTAATTATTCCCAATATTAATAACTATAAGTGACTAAAAAAAAAATAAATATAATATCTATATATTTTAGGAAAATCTCCTGGGAAATTCTCAACAATTTTGAGGAGTGCACACATTAAAAAGAAAATCTGAAAACGCTTTCGTTTGTTCTAATCACAGCGACAGCATCGCCAAGTTTACTG